TATTTGTCACTCTAGGATATCAGAGAGAATTGTCACTCTAGGATATCAGAGAGAATTGTCACTCTAGGATATCAGAGAGATATTTGTCACTCTAGGATATCAGAGAGATATTTGTCACTCTAGGATATCAGAGAGATATTTGTCACTCTAGGATATCAGAGAGATATTTGTCACTCTAGGATATCAGAGAGATATTTGTCACTCTAGGATATCAGAGAGAATTGTCACTCTAGGATATCAGAGAGATATTTGTCACTCTAGGATATCAGAGAGATATTTGTCACTCTAGGATATCAGAGAGATATTTGTCACTCTAGGATATCAGAGAGATATTTGTCACTCTAGGATATCAGAGAGATATTTGTCACTCTAGGATATCAGAGAGAATTGTCACTCTAGGATATCAGAGAGAATTGTCACTCTAGGATATCAGAGAGATATTTGTCACTCTAGGATATCAGAGAGATATTTGTCACTCTAGGATATCAGAGAGATATTTGTCACTCTAGGATATCAGAGAGATATTTGTCACTCTAGGATATCAGAGAGATATTTGTCACTCTAGGATATCAGAGAGATATTTGTCACTCTAGGATATCAGAGAGATATTTGTCACTCTAGGATATCAGAGAGATATTTGTCACTCTAGGATATCAGAGAGATATTTGTCACTCTAGGATATCAGAGAGATATTTGTCACTCTAGGATTTCAGAGAGGTATTTGTCACTCTAGGATATCAGAGAGATATTTGTCACTCTAGGATATCAGAGAGATATTTGTCACTCTAGGATATCAGAGAGATATTTGTCACTCTAGGATATCAGAGAGATATTTGTCACTCTAGGATATCAGAGAGATATTTGTCACTCTAGGATATCAGAGAGATATTTGTCACTCTAGGATATCAGAGAGATATTTGTCACTCTAGGATATCAGAGATATTTGTCACTCTAGGATATCAGAGAGATATTTGTCACTCTAGGATATCAGAGAGATATTTGTCACTCTAGGATATCAGAGAGATATTTGTCACTCTAGGATATCAGAGAGATATTTGTCACTCTAGGATATCAGAGAGAATTGTCACTCTAGGATATCAGAGAGAATTGTCACTCTAGGATATCAGAGAGATATTTGTCACTCTAGGATATCAGAGAGATATTTGTTACTCTAGGATATCAGAGAGATATTTGTCACTCTAGGATATCAGAGAGAATTGTCACTCTAGGATATCAGAGAGATATTTGTCACTCTAGGATATCAGAGAGATATTTGTCACTCTAGGATATCAGAGAGATATTTGTCACTCTAGGATATCAGAGAGATATTTGTCACTCTAGGATATCAGAGAGATATTTGTCACTCTAGGATATCAGAGAGATATTTGTCACTCTAGGATATCAGAGAGATATTTGTCACTCTAGGATATCAGAGAGATATTTGTCACTCTAGGATATCAGAGAGATATTTGTCACTCTAGGATATCAGAGCGATATTTGTCACTCTAGGATATCAGAGAGATATTTGTCACTCTAGGATATCAGAGAGATATTTGTCACTCTAGGATATCAGAGAGATATTTGTCACTCTAGGATATCAGAGAGATATTTGTCACTCTAGGATATCAGAGATATATTTGTCACTCTAGGATATCAGAGAGATATTTGTCACTCTAGGATATCAGAGAGATATTTGTCACTCTAGGATATCAGAGAGATATTTGTCACTCTAGGATATCAGAGAGAATTGTCACTCTAGGATATCAGAGAGATATTTGTCACTCTAGGATATCAGAGAGAATTGTCACTCTAGGATATCAGAGAGATATTTGTCACTCTAGGATATCAGAGAGATATTTGTCACTCTAGGATATCAGAGAGATATTTGTCACTCTAGGATATCAGAGAGATATTTGTCACTCTAGGATATCAGAGCGATATTTGTCACTCTAGGATATCAGAGAGATATTTGTCACTCTAGGATATCAGAGAGAATTGTCACTCTAGGATATCAGAGAGAATTGTCACTCTAGGATATCAGAGAGATATTTGTCACTCTAGGATATCAGAGAGATATTTGTCACTCTAGGATATCAGAGAGATATTTGTCACTCTAGGATATCAGAGAGATATTTGTCACTCTAGGATATCAGAGAGATATTTGTCACTCTAGGATATCAGCGAGATATTTGTCACTCTAGGATATCAGAGAGATATTTGTCACTCTAGGATATCAGAGAGATATTTGTCACTCTAGGATATCAGAGAGATATTTGTCACTCTAGGATTTCAGAGAGATATTTGTCACTCTAGGATATCAGAGAGGTATTTGTCACTCTAGGATATCAGAGAGATATTTGTCACTCTAGGATATCAGAGAGATATTTGTCACTCTAGGATATCAGAGAGATATTTGTCACTCTAGGATATCAGAGAGATATTTGTCACTCTAGGATATCAGAGAGATATTTGTCACTCTAGGATATCAGAGAGATATTTGTCACTCTAGGATATCAGAGATATTTGTCACTCTAGGATATCAGAGAGATATTTGTCACTCTAGGATATCAGAGAGATATTTGTCACTCTAGGATATCAGAGAGATATTTGTCACTCTAGGATATCAGAGAGATATTTGTCACTCTAGGATATCAGAGAGATATTTGTCACTCTAGGATATCAGAGAGATATTTGTCACTCTAGGATATCAGAGAGAATTTGTCACTCTAGGATATCAGAGAGATATTTGTCACTCTAGGATATCAGAGAGATATTTGTCACTCTAGGATATCAGAGAGATATTTGTCACTCTAGGATATCAGAGAGATATTTGTCACTCTAGGATATCAGAGAGATATTTGTCACTCTAGGATATCAGAGAGATATTTGTCACTCTAGGATATCAGAGATATTTGTCACTCTAGGATATCAGAGAGATATTTGTCACTCTAGGATATCAGAGAGATATTTGTCACTCTAGGATATCAGAGAGATATTTGTCACTCTAGGATATCAGAGAGATATTTGTCACTCTAGGATATCAGAGAGATATTTGTCACTCTAGGATATCAGAGAGAATTGTCACTCTAGGATATCAGAGAGAATTGTCACTCTAGGATATCAGAGAGATATTTGTCACTCTAGGATATCAGAGAGATATTTGTCACTCTAGGATATCAGAGAGATATTTGTCACTCTAGGATATCAGAGAGAATTGTCACTCTAGGATATCAGAGAGATATTTGTCACTCTAGGATATCAGAGAGATATTTGTCACTCTAGGATATCAGAGAGATATTTGTCACTCTAGGATATCAGAGAGATATTTGTCACTCTAGGATATCAGAGAGATATTTGTCACTCTAGGATATCAGAGAGATATTTGTCACTCTAGGATATCAGAGAGATATTTGTCACTCTAGGATATCAGAGAGATATTTGTCACTCTAGGATATCAGAGAGATATTTGTCACTCTAGGATATCAGAGAGATATTTGTCACTCTAGGATATCAGAGAGAATTGTCACTCTAGGATATCAGAGAGAATTGTCACTCTAGGATATCAGAGAGATATTTGTCACTCTAGGATATCAGAGAGATATTTGTCACTCTAGGATATCAGAGAGATATTTGTCACTCTAGGATATCAGAGAGAATTGTCACTCTAGGATATCAGACAGATATTTGTCACTCTAGGATATCAGAGAGATATTTGTCACTCTAGGATATCAGAGAGATATTTGTTGTGTTGTGAACGTGAATCCTATTACAGCCTTCTAGGTTAGGTTAGGATCAGGATTGGCATTGCAAGTCAGAGTTTTATAGATATCGTGAATGCTTGAAAGTATGTGCAGAGACTTGATATTTAACACGTATAAAGATTTCAGTAAGAGAGCAAAGATGATAATTAATGAAGAGCATATTTAGTAAATAAAAATTTAAGATAAGAATAACACAAAAATAGCTTGATATGAGGGACAAAACAATTATATATATATATATATATATATATATATATATATATATATATATATATATATATATATATATATATATATATATATATATATATATATATATATATATATATATATATATATATATATATATATATATATATATATATATATATATATATATATATATATATATATATATATATATATATATATATATATATATATATATATATATATTGGCAAGGGTCCCAGTAGTACAGTCGGGTTCGCTCTCGACGCACAACCGAGAATTTCAGGTTCGAATCCTGGGCGGGACAGAAACAGTTGAACACATTTTCTTTCACCTAATGCGTCAGTTCACCTAGCAGTGAGTAGGTACTCAGGAGTTAATCAGCTTGTTGTGGGGTTGTATCCTGGGCGGGGTCTGTAATTCAGCCTTGGGAGGACCTAAATAAAACCCAAATGTGTATGACTACACTATGTCTTCCTGTCCCCGGGCACACTGAATTATATATCTAACCACATAAACGTCGAAAATAACATTTTATTCACTATTTGGGCCATGCGATCCTCGAACTCAGGACCACAAATGGGGAAGACTGTAGTTCTACCAACCTGGGGCCAGATTCACGAAAGCACTTACGCAAGCACTTACGAACCTGTACATCTTTTCTCAATCTTTGGCGGCTTTGTTTACAATTATTAAACAGTTAATGAGCTCCGAAGCACCAGGAGGCTGTTTATAACAATAACAACAGTTGATTGGCAAGTTTTCATGCTTGTAAACTGTTTAATAAATGTAAACAAAGCCGTCAAAGATTGAGGAAAGACGTACACGTTCGTAAGTGCTTGCGTAATTGCTTCGTGAATCTGGCCCCAGGCTACTGAACACTCTCTTTCGAGGAGAATCTCAAAGAAACGGAACTGGTATCCAACTGAGACTTTAGGCCTCCCTGGAGTGCCACTTGAGAGGTGGTTGTTGCCGCTTGCACTAACCTACCTGATTGAGAGAGTTGACTGTTGCTTCTTGCACTAACCTACCTGGTTGAGAGAGTTGACTGTTGCTTCTTGCACTAACCTACCTGGTTGAGAGAGATGGCTCTTGCTACTGGCATTAAACAGCCAGGATGGGTGATGTGGCTCTTGCTACTGGCATTAAACTGCCAGGATGGGCGATGTGGCTCTTGCTACTGGCATTAAACAGTCAGGATGGGCGATGTGGCTCTTGCTACTGGCATTAAACTGCCAGGATGGGCGATGTGGCTCCTACTACTGGCATTAAACTGCCAGGATGGGTGATGTGGCTCTTGTTACTGGCATTAAACTGCCAGGATGGGCGATGTGGCTCCTACTACTGGCATTAAACTGCCAGGATGGGTGATGTGGCTCTTGTTACTGGCATTAAACTGCCAGGATGGGTGATGTGGCTCCTGCTACTGGCATTAAACTGCCAGGATGGGTGATGTGGCTCTTGTTACTGGCATTAAACTGCCAGGATGGGTGATGTGGCTCCTGCTACTGGCATTAAACTGCCAGGATGGGTGATGTGGCTCTTGTTACTGGCATTAAACTGCCAGGATGGGTAATGTGGCTCCTGCTACTGGCATTAAACTGCCAGGATGGGTGATGTGGCTCTTGTTACTGGCATTAAACTGCCTGCTACATCACCAACTGGCACTAGAAAACTGTTTCCAGTGCCTCCCACTTTGGCAGCGCTGATAGTGTTGCTGCTTGAGGGTCGAGTTATCGGCGTCCTCACCAATTCCACTGATAAACAGCCCGTTTTCCTTGGTTCAAAACAAAATACTAAGTGTTAACCTAAGCAGACACGTACAAACCCAAGCCACCCACCTAACCTAACGTACCGTTTAACAGAAAACGTAAATATATGTGAGACGCTACTTTTCATTATTTATAATTTGTCCGTTTGGAAACGTATAAAATATGGCGTATTAATAGAGCGGACGAGTTGGCCTCATACTGCCTAATCTTATCAAAAGTTGGCAGTTCTCTGTATAATCTTATCAAGGAAGGCCTTGAGATCATATCTTACAAGATATTCGGTTATCACAAAAAACTTGTAAAAAATAAGTTTTTTAGAAAATGTATTGTGATGTAAATTTGTAAGACTTTAATGTGAACCAGAGGGCAGCAATGTGGCCCTCGGTATAAGGAACACCATCAACGGACTATTGAACACCATCAACGGACTATTGAACACCATCAACGGACTAATGAACACCAACGGACTAATGAACACCATCATCGGACTATTGAACACCATCAACGGACTATTGAAGACCATCATCGGACTTCTCTGGAACGTAGGTTCAAACCCTCATCACGGCCCTTGTGGATTTGTACATTTGATGCATCACGCTATTGTGATTTCTGTGGTGTAATGAAGTAAGGGCGAAGAGGTAGAATAGCTTATTGACATAGCTCGGGTGCATGGGGGGAGTTGTGTAAAAACCTGGTTTGTGTCTCGGAGAGGCTGCAGGATCCGTGGTAGGTCAAGTTGAACTCACGGTTGCAATTCTTTTACCATGTCGTAGCTCAGTCGATTAAGGCAGCGTCTGGGATTCTCTTAGACGTAGATCCGAACCCTCATCACGACCCTTGTGGATTTGTTCATTTGATGCATCATACTATTATGATTTTTGTGTGTAATGTAGAGTAACAAACACCATCAACGAACTTGTTACGAACCCAAGTTCATCGTCAGAGCACGGAGCAGTGACGTCAACGCCATCTGTGAGTCCGCTCCCGAAACCCCCCACAACATGGACGACGCCATTTAGGGGCGACAGGAATATACCGGCAAGAGACGCTAGATTCCTGTCCTAGTCAGCTCGTGAGGTAGCTGGTGCTGACCTCTAGTGAGGTGGTGCTTAGAAAAGCAGCGCCATCTGTCATAAGCGGTGTTGGATGTATGTGTCTAAGCCAGTAAGTGATGTTTCCTAGTGGTCCCACGCAGTGTCCCAGTGTACTGCTGACGTGCCTGTATTCACAGAGTCGACGTAGGGCTGCTGTGATACAAGGACAGGCAGTCTACCCAGGGCAGCCAAGGTCTCTACACTAGTCTGCTTTACGGAAGCAGTGAGCCGCCGCCGGAAGAGAACTGTGAAGTGTTCTACTGTCTGCCTGTGGAGTGGCAGTGACGGGATTCGCCGTACCCGGGGCTGGCTAATAGAAGAGAAGACTGACTCAGGTGCTGAAGAGGAGAGTAACCAGCGAGTTACACGAAGCACCTGCCTAGGGCCCGCTACCCTAGTATCTGCAAGTGAAGTGGCCCAGCAGCGCGAGGCTGATTGGTACCTGACAGCAACAGGCTGGACTGTGGTTGTGGGCCTTCACGAAGAGGCACTTAGTGGGATTGTGGCTTGGCTGGCCCGTGGCCAGGGTTGACTCATTGTTGTTTCCCGGTACCCACTGAGAGTAGTACCACGGATGAGGAAACACGGTACAAGACTGCATCGATTAAGCTTCGTCGAGTGTTTAGTGTCTTCTGAGAGAGACGTTGGTGTACATATAGTGTGTAATACTTCCTTTTAAGAGTTAAATATATATATATGGTGATGGGAAAATAATTATATATATGGATAAAGTGATGAACTGTTGTATTTAATGTACCTCCCCCTTTTGTTTTACTTGCATTACTGAGCTCACCCCTTGAAAGCCACTACTAACTTGGGACCAGATACCAGAACTTTCGTACCACCAGAAAAGAACCCGGTTGCGTCCCATTGAGGCCATAACAGGACTAACGAACACCATCAATGGACTAATGAACACCATCAATGGTCTAATGAACACCATCAACGGACTAATGAACACCATCAATAGACTAATGAACACCATCAACGGACTAATGAACACCATCAACGGACTAATGAACACCATCATCGGACTGACGAACACCATCAATGCACTAATGAACACCATCAATGGACTAATGAACACCATCAACGGACTAATGAACACCATCAACGGACTAATGAACACCATCAATAGACTAATGAACACCATCAACGGACTAATGAACACCATCAACGGACTAATGAACACCATCAACGGACTAATGAACACCATCAATAGACTAATGAACACCATCAACGGACTAATGAACACCATCAACGGACTAATGAACACCATCAATGGACTAATGAACACCATCAATGGACTAATGAACACCATCAACGGACTAATGAACACCATCAATAGACTAATGAACACCATCAACGGACTAATGAACACCAACGGACTAATGAACACCATCATCGGACTGACGAACACCATCAATGCACTAATGAACACCATCAATGGACTAATGAACACCATCAACGGACTAATGAACACCATCAATAGACTAATGAACACCATCAACGGACTAATGAACACCATCAACGGACTAATGAACACCATCAACGGACTAATGAACACCATCAACGGACTATTGAACACCATCAACGGTCTAATGAACACCATCATCGGACTGACGAACACCATCAATAGACTAATGAACACCATCAATAGACTAATGAACACCATCAATGGACTAATGAACACCATCAACGGTCTAATGAACACCATCATCGGACTGACGAACACCATCAATAGACTAATGAACACCATCAATGGACTAATGAACACCATCAACGGTCTAATGAACACCATCATCGGACTGACGAACACCATCAATAGACTAGCGAACACCATCAATAGACTAATGAACACCATCAGGAATGAACTAAAGAATACCATTAACAGACTAATGAACATTATAAATTATTATTATTATTATTATGTTTATTACTATGTTTATTATTGACAGATTATAATTTATTTTTATTACATTTCTGTGTATTTATGAACATTATAAAATTATTATTATTAACAGATTAAAGACAACAGGACAAAAGGGAGAAGCTGAAATGAGTGTCAAGGCCCATATGCCAAGTCAAAAAATTGGACCGTCGCAGCCTTCGACACGTGAGACAGGTGAAAACAAGGATGATGGGGGGAAGGGGGGTAGAAATAGCCTAAGCTACTCTATCCCTTTGAGATGTATTTATTGCTTATCTCAATAAACATACTTGAACTTGAACTTGAAAACAAGGAAACCGCCTCCTGGATGATCGGAGCATAAAACTGAACCATAGTGCGAGACGAAAATACCGGCAATTGGAACCACACCAAGTGCTCACACATCATCTGAGAGCTAATCAAAAAGGGATCATGGTGACCTTTCTTTGTTTCTTAGGTGTTTGGCCTACCTCAACAACTGGCTGGTTTGGACTCGCAGCTGGTCTGCTAGCCACGGATCTGGTTCTTTCTCAGTTCGAGAGAAAAAAAAGAGACTTACTCGGATGGCGGCAGCACTGCATGTCTCAATGCAAAGAAGGAACTGTCGGCTGCAACAGTCACCCCAAAGTGACACAAGGTTAGAGAGGCCCCTGGAACATTCACGAGATACCTGGCGCCCAAGACCCTGTTCGACCTTCAAAACCCCCAAGCCTTAATGTCGACCCAAGACATGTTACCAAACACTGCAGCGAATGCCGCATGCTTCGTCACATCATGGGTACAAAGGTAGACTTCAGGCTTTCTGGATTTTATGACATTGTGGACAACCTGTGACACGAGCCCTGGAACAGGGAACCAGAAAAACTGGATCCACCCAAAGAACGTCCACCGGCACGGACCCGTCCGCAGGTAGCAGCGTAAAGCCACCACCAGACACAACACGTGATGCACACTCAACCTAACCAACCAAGCATCCATCACGAGAGGACCCCTCCAGATGTTTGCAGTCTCATTCTTCGCCAGAAAAGAAGGAGAGGGCCGCAACCGAACAAAACGACACCTAGGACCAAAAAAACAGAATCCCCGGCGTTGGAGAAACGCATGAAGCTCCCTAACCCGAGCCCCAGAAGCCAAGGCCAACAAAAATAAGGCCTTCCGGAAACCATCTTGAACCGAAGGGGTCACAACAAAACGAGGAAAAGAAAGAACCCAGTCCAAAGACCAGGAAGGCTCAGCTGGCAGTGCATGAGCAGGCCAGAGGTGAAATAACACACGTGAAATCTTGCAAAATGGAAGAGAAGTGACTTCCACCCCGAATGCAAGCTGGAGCAGCTCTGCCAATTCAGCACGATACTAAGGAACAGGTTTCAGCATGAGATGCCGACCATAAAAAAACAAGAAAGAAAGGACAAAACAACCCGGTCCAAAATAAAAGAAAACCTCTCAAGAGAAAGAAACTGACGGAAAGACCACCAAGAAACTTCATACTGTTGCCTCGAATAAGACCGCAGCTGGGACATCATCAAAGAAGCCACCTGATCACCATAGAAATGCGATACACCCGCGTCAGAGAGAGTTGACGCGAAGTGCAGAGCAGTAAATCAAACCAGCCAGGCACCTCATTGGCCCGATCTGCAGGTAGAGGCGGAGCCACTAAAAAAAACCTGGGTTCCAACACCAAGCAAGCAGCGCCTGAAACCAAGGCTGGGCCGGCCACCATGGAGCCAGGAGAAGAAGCCTCCCTTGGTAGGGAGAAGCTTGTAAGCCTCCCTTGGTAGGCTTACAAGCAAGCCAGGACCTGGAGCAATGGCTGAACCGGGGGAAAGAAGTACAGGAACCCCCACCGCGACCAATCCTGCCGAAAAGCATCGACCGCGATGGCCTCGCAGTCGGGGAACAGCTCCATTCACAGAGGAAGACGCCGAGACCACGCCGACGTGAAGAGATCCACCTCCAGGCGGCTGTACGTCCAGCATAGCCACCTGAAGGACTGGTTATGTCCTGGCCAGGACATAGCCACCAGTCCTTGCCGGACTGGTGAGCATTGGTCACAAAGCCCCAACCAAGAGACAAGACGTCCGTGAACACATCGAGCGAGGGAAGAGAAGGGCGCCGTGGCACCGAACCCGGTGACGAACCCAAGAGGAAACCGGTGATGGTGAAGTGTGAGCAAAAAGAGCCAGCCTCCCACCGAACTCCCCCCCATCGCAGGGCGACTCGCAAAAGGGCCGACGCAAACCCCAAGCCAAGTGCCGCACAGAGTGACCACAATACCAACAAGATGATAAAGGCTCTTGAGCATCCGCAGAGGCAACAACTGGCACCAAAGGAAAACCTCGACCAACCAAGACTGGAACCCTGGCACGACCAAACCGGGACGACCGAGAACGACGCACTGTTACCACTCTTGAGACTAAATAAGGTTCTTCTCCCCGCAGTGCAATAAAAAGGATAATAAATCGGCCTTGCCAACAACTGTCTAGGGGTAAATATACATCACTGCATAAAATGGAGAACAATATATTTATGCTAAGGGGGACAAACATAACATTATTTAAATGTATAAATATATACCCAGAAATATTCTTCAGCATGCAAATCATAGAATAACCTCCTTATTGAGACATGAGCACTATCGCCACAACATGGATTAATTAGAGAGACATATACAATATCATCTAACCAGATAATTAACATTTATATGGGCTAAAATAACAGTGACCAATGACTTAACTTAAACCACAACTCCTCTCGACTTCAGCCGCCACGCTTCTGCCCACGCCTTGGTCCGCAGGCCAAGCGTCTACCAAAAAATCAACTAAACGTCCACATACACATTGTGGAAATTCTAACAACAAAATGCAGCACTAATATTCAAAACATTATCAAACTAAAGAATAGTAAATACTGGTACAACATTCCATACAATATTACGGCAACCAAATATGGGAATAAATCAATGTAAAACTATAAACACTCGATTGACAACAATGTTCCCACACTGGCCATATCCAAATATGGTCAACCGCCCACACGGAGAAACTACATGAGAAATTAATACCCAAAAGCCTCAAGATGGTTGACCATCTCCCAGTTGTGGCGTCAGTACAGAGAAAACAAAAATAAAACACAAATTTCCCCAAAATTTTAATTCAGTCTCTTCAAGACATCAACAGGAGGTCATGTGTGTTGCATGCACTGACGAAGCAAAGTTGCCCCCACATTCCGTTAAATTCCTGAAAGTATCCGTAGGGCGTCACATCCAACCAGGTACCACCCATCAGGTGGCTGGGAGGTGTGACAGGTTATTGATTCCCCATCACCTTATTGCAGTGCTTGACAAAGGTGCCATCATTCCGGTCGTCAACCTCTCTCATAAGACTTTTAGGTTCAGAGTCGGGGACAGAGTATCTCAGGCTACAGTGGTAGAGGAAGCTGAAATTTTTCAGCATGGAAACCAGGGGGAGACACCTGCCATCACCGCACAATGTAGTGCATTCGGCACTTGACTTACAGCATCTCTCAGGCAGACAGGAAGTGGTTGAGGGGGGGTCTTGCGTAGACTGGCCAAGACTGTTTGCCACAGATGATGACCAGATTAGTCTCCTGGATAGGACTGAACACACTATTCCTACTGGAGATCATCCTCCAGTGTACACCCGACAATGGAGACTGCCGCCACAGGCTAAGAATGTTATCAGGGATGAGTGCCAGAAAATGTTGAGGCAGGGCGTGATAGAGCCTAGTACGTCACCGTGGCTCTCTCCTGTTGTGTTAGTTCACAAACCTGATGGTAGTTATCGCTTTTGTGTTGACTACAGGAAGGTGAACGAAATAATTAAGGGTGATGTATATCCTTTACCCCGAATTCAGGAGATAATTGATCAATTTGGTGCTGCCAAGTATTTCTCAAATCTGGACGCGAAATTGGCATATTGGGCGATTCCAGTTGTGGAACAGGATAAGGAAAAAACAGCATTCTCTGATGGCAGGCATACTTATCAATTCCGTAGGATGTCATTTGGATTAAAGACAGTGCCTTCGTCATTTTAGAGGGCCATTAACTTCATACTTAGCCCAGTTTTGGGAAGGCATTCGTTAGCGTACCTGGATGATGTGATATATTCCAGGACATTTGAGGACCATTTACAAGACTTAACTGAAACTTTGACATTGTTAGATCAGGCGGGGTTCAAGTTTAGTGTGCAGAAATGCACCCTGGAGGCTCAGAAATTCAAATTTCTGGGGTTCCAGGTGAGCCCAGACGGCATTCGACCTGACCCAGATTCTTGCCGCGCCATTACCTACTCCAAGGACAGCAAAGGACGTGCGCAGGTTTTGGGGGGCGGCCGGATATTTTCGTCGGCACATTGAAGGTTCCGCTGGCATTTCAGCACCTCCTGACTGATCTGACAAAGAAAAATGCTAAATTCACTTGGAAACCTGAACATGAAGCCTATCGTAAAATGAAGAGCCAACTAATTACGACCCCGGTACTGGCCATTCCTGATTTCGATAAAGAGTGGGAGGTAAACACTGACGCCAGCGATATAGCTATTGGCGGGTGTTTAATTCAGCGCGATGCGCTGAAATAAATAATTTTTAATTATTTAATAATTTATCCTGTGGCCTATTTCAGTAGAAAGGTCAAGTGACCTGAAGTTCGGTATTCGGCCACGGATCGGGAGGCACTGGCAGTAGAAGAGTCAGTCAGATATTTCGAGCCATATATATTTCAGCGCCATTTTGTGATTTACACAGACCAACGAGCGTTAACACACACATTTAAAAAGCGCACTAAATGCCCACGAATGTCACGCTGGTCTCACGAACTTTCGGCCCACTCATTCCAGATATTGTACAAGCCTTATCCAGCACATGTTGTGCCTGATACGTTAAGCAGAAACATCGCTACGATTCATGTAAACCAGAATATTGAAAACATCGCATCAGACAAGATGAGAGAATACCAGATTAGCGAGCCTAGGTGGAAAGAGATTATTGATTATTTAGAAGGGGGAAAAT